GCTATCTGTGAGTTCAGCCTCACAACACCCCTCATCTGTGAGCTCAGCCTCACAGCACTGCTCATCTGTGAGCTCAGCCTCACAGCACCCCTCATCTGTGAGTTCAGCCTCACAGCACTGCTCATCTGTGAGCTCAGCCTCACAGCACCCCTCATCTGTGAGCTCAGCCTCACAGCACCCCTCATCTGTGAGCTCAGCCTCACAACACCCCTCATCTGCAAACTCAGCCTCACAGCACTGCTCATCTGTGAGCTCAGCCTCACAGCACCCCTCATCTGTGAGCTCAGCCTCACAGCACCCCTCATCTGTGAGCTCAGCCTCACAGCACCCCTCATCTGGTCACTGTCACCCCGGTTTGTGTGTGAGGCCAGGGCAGCGCGGAGCTGCTGTGAGAGGAGAGGTGATGCACAAGCACAGGGCAGGGCTGGCTCCCAGCCACGGGGAGATGCTCTGTGGGGACACAGGGCAGGCAGAGCTGTCACACCGAGGTGACAAACCTGCACCGTGGCTCTGGCACTGCTGGCAGAGGCTCCCGGGGCAGCCCTGCGGGTTCCCATAAACCTCGCTCAGCTCAGCCGTGCATTTCCACCTCTCCACAGAACCCGCGGATGCCCCATCCCCAAAGGCGTTCATGGCCAGGCTGGATGTGGCTTTGAGCAGCCCAGTGGAAGGTGTCCCTGCCCTTGGCAGTGGGTTTGGAGCTGGGTGATCTTTAAGGTCCTTTCCAACCCAGACCATCCTGTGATTCTACAATTCTACGGAAACAACGTACTCAGTTAGAAATCTTCTTGTTAAAATTGCTGTTTCCTGGTCTCCTGCTAGGACTCCACATGCTTCAGAGAAAGGGCTGAGATACCCTTAAATGCCACGAAGTTAAATGGACATTGCTTCAGGGAGCAAGACCCTTCTCCTCTTTTCCAGGGTCAGAGGAGAAGAGCATCCTACACTGCCTGTGACAGCAGAAATGGGCTGGTAATACGAGAAGTTGTGAGAGCCAAAGGTAAAAGGAAAGTAAAAGAGACATGGAGATGAAATATGAGACCCTCAGAGCAGCATGACTGAGTGTGGCACTTGGCACGGGGACTCCAGGCCAGGAAGAGCTAAGAGCAATGTGGGAAAACTAGCAGGCAAAACTAAAATGATATATACAGCCTTAAAGGTGAGGAAAGGGGTTTGGAGTTGTGTGGGAAGGCTGTAAAATGGTTCAGGGAAGTGAGCAGCTCTTCCAAGGGGAGAAGAAAGGCTATTTTAACAACAGGAATGAGTGATGGGAGAGCTCAGCATGGAGTGAGAAGAAAGAACCTCTGCTCTGCTGACACCTGCCCATACTCCTCTCCACAAAAGCATCTCCCTGACGAGGCTGAAGAAAGAGCACCAATTTGGAGGGGAGCTGAGGCACAGAAGTGTGTTTTCTGACTTGATCCAAGATGTGCAGAAATTCTGTAGCTGAGCAGGGAGAATTCCCTTGAGAATGGACTGGACTGAGGAAAACCCCACCTTTAACAGATGCAATCTGGATTCTCTGGAGGTGCCTCAGAATCCAGCTGGGTGCCTATTTGTGCACAGCCCTCCCTGTAAGTAAATCAGGTCCCACATGTTTTGTTTTGTTTTTTGTAGCCCTGCAAATTTGGACTGCAGAAGCATGGCAGAACTCAAACTACTTGTTTAATTTCTTTGGAGTGTTTCATCCCAGCCTGCACTTGTTAGTGAAGCCCAGAGATCATGGAAAATTGTCTCTGGACAACTTAGTAACTCCCAGCATGTGGGAGAGCTCTCAGCTGGAGGATCACCCATTTGCCAGACCCACACCAACCCAAACCCTGCCGGGCTCAAGGCTGCTCATTGTGCTTTTCTCTCACCTCCTCCATTTTTGCCACAGAGATAAGGGAAGCGCCAGACGTTGCCCAGACCGATGGCATAGCCCACACAGGACAGCAGGAAGTCGAATTTCCCCTTCCAGGAACCTCTGTCTGGGATCTCCTTCTTCTTCTTCTTGGTGCTCACGACCTCAGGGCTGATGGGCTCCAGCTCCTCCAGGGCTGCCTGCTTCACCTCGGAGGGAGAGTTCAGCTCCACGGAGGGGTTGTCCATCTTGCCCATGGTCACTCAGATGTGTGTCCACTCTTGCTGAGGGGCTGGAGGAGCAGGAGGAGCAGGAGGAGCAGGAGGAGCAGCTTCTGCCCTGCCCACGTGAAGACAAGATGGGAAGCACTGGGCAAAGCTCCTGGTGAGAAAGGAGAGATGGAAAGTGTCCTGTGTCAATGCAGTGTGTCAGACTTGGTTGTTACCATTGCACAACAAATCCCTCAGCTCTCACCTTACCTGCTTCTCGTCCCAGAGCTCTGCAGGAAGAGCTCTGGCACCAGTAGGCACGCAGAGAAAGCACAGGTTGTGGGTGACCCACCACAGAGAAGAGAGATGTGTCTGTCCTGTCTGAGGGACAGTGGAGGAGGGCACGATGAGGGTGCCACAGCTCCCAGGTCTGGGCTCCAAAGCTGAGTGCAGCAGCCCCAGAGCCATCTGAGAGCTTGTGGCCCAGCCAGCCAAGCCCAGCTTTGCAGCCACACCAGGGCTGTGTTCCACTGAGCAATCCTGTGCCTTTATCTGTGCCCTTATCCCTCACCACAGCAGCAGCACAGCTGTGCTCACAGCATCTGGCCAGGGAATCGCTGCTCTGCTCCTCCCTGCACACCCCTGGTGTGGTGCTGTAATCCCCA